TGAGAGAATTTTACCGATGTAATCACAACCTCATGAGCCACCTCAAGCATGATGCTTGATTCTACTACTTCCTCATGAGAGCACTTTAGATGAACATAATTTGCTTGTAGCTCATTATACTTGCTTGATAGTTCATCTAGCCTTGCCTTGAGCTCGAAGTTTTCCTTCTCTAGTTGTGAAACACTAGAAGAGGAATTAGTAACTAAAGCATGCTCGATTGATAATTTTTCATACCTCTCATTTATTGCCTTTAGCTCTTGCAATTTGGAGATGAGAAACTTTTCTTGATTTTGAAGCGATTGCTCTTGCTTCTCAATCTCTTCTTCAAGCTCATCATTCTTTTCAACTATCTTCATGATGATGAACTTGTCTTTATGGTTGAGATGATCAAGGTTGTAGTTGTCTTCAATTTCAACATCACTCTTATCTTGATCATCTACTTGTGCTTTCTCCTTTTCTTGATCTTTCTTGTTATTCTTCTTCTTGCTTTTCTTGGCCATGAGACACAAGTGATGAGTATCATGAGATACTGAGGTTGACTCATCACTTGGTCGCCATCGGGCTTGAGCATCGCTACAAAACAAATTTGCTATTTGGTTCGCTACCTCGACCATACTGGACACGTCCGGTAGGGCATATACCGGACACGTCCGGTACATGCAAAAGCATGTTGAGGTCATCTTGCGCTTTGCACTTCTTGCTCGGCTCGGCACTCTTGAGGTTTTGTGAGGCTTCTTCACATATGAAGACACAATGGATATTCTTTCCATTGACTCGATCTCAAGTGCATCATCACATTTGGATTTTCCATATAAATCAAAAGTCTAGTCTAAATGAGATGAGCACTCTCCCAGGAGGTGGTTGTCCATTGAATATTGCCTCATCTTGAACCTCTACACTTAATGTACTCAAAATAATATTAATAGCTTGAGCATTGAGTTGCACGCATATTTCTTCCTCTTTTGATAAATTTTTGTAGTTGCTCCAATCAACTATAGAAATAGGTATGCTTGCATCTACAATATGCTCAACAAGAGGACTAATATCTCTAAAAGCATTGAGTACATGTATTGACCAAATTAGAAAGTTTGAACCATCATTTTGGAGAAGCACCGGCTCCAACTCGATAGGCGTCGACATCCTTTTCTCACGGCGGTGAAGCTTTAGGTGAGAACCTCGCTCTGATACCAATTGAAAGGACCTAGGATGCCGCCTAGAGGGGGGGTGAATAGGCGTTTCTGGAAAATAACACCTTTAAATGCGGAAACAATTAGAAAGGGGAGTTTCCAAAATGGAAACTCCAAATTAAGTGTACTACCACCCCTCACAAGTTAGCCACAAAGTAAACAAGGTATAAAGAATATATCTAGAAGCTACAACCCCGCAACACCAAGTTAGAACAAAGAATAAATATTTTCATTCTTGAAAGGCGAAAATCTTCGGGCGTCTCTCGGTATGAATACTTGACGTGTCCGTATACACGATTCTCGCAAATCGGCCCCGAACTTGCTCCTTTCGATTTCTATCTTCAAACCAAACTGCGAGGCACCTAATGGAGATGACAATATACACAGAGAACCCGCAGAACAGCTAGAGCAACATAAATATCAAATGAAATGCGAATTTAGACACGATATTTGTTTTACCGAAGTTCGGACTCGCTTCGAGTCCTACTCTCCTGAGGGGGGCTGCAGGCGACCCAAAAAAGGTCACCCTAGAGGGTACCACGAAGGTCACTCTAGCTGAGTCTTTTCCAACTCCTTTTCCTCCTTCCACTAATTTGATTCCGAGGTGGCGGAATCGACCGCTACAAACTTTCCGAAGCAACCACAATCTCTCGGTTGCTCTCCGTGACGACGCCTAACCGCTCTAGGACCAAGAGTCCAAGAGTAACAAATGTGAATCACGAGATTGACAATATGCACAAGTGCTCAAGTGGTGGCTTGCTCTCTTTTTAAAATTCTCTCTCAACCCACAAATTGATTTTGCAATTTGGATCACACACTCACTAAGAGAGGGTTTAGGAGAGTTGGCAAGGCTCAAAAACGTGTGTCTATCTCAGCAGAATCAGCAGCCTCCAAAGGTGGAGGCTTGGGGGTATTTATAGCCCCCTTGAAAAACTAGTCGTTTTATAGCCGTTGCAATACCGGACACGTCCGGTATGACTCAGACTGCGCCAACGGTAACTAAGTTACAGTGATGTTGTGAGGCGTCGGAACTCCCGAAGTATGCCGGGACTTCCGACCGTCGAAACTCTCGACTCAAGTCGGAACCCCGACCCTCAGCAATTTTAAAAAACATGTAACTGAGTTAAAGTTAGTGAGGTGTCGGAACTCCCGACGCATGTCGGAACTCCCGACCCTCACGGCTTTTGAAAACTAGCCGTTGGCTTCTGGTCATCCATACCGGACACGTCCGGTGTGAATACCGGACACGTCCGGTATGACCAGGACAGTGAGACCTCTAAGTCTGTTGAAGTGCGAGACGTCGGAACTCCCGACCCATGCCGGAACTCCCGACGAAGCAACCCGAGAACAACAATTTTACAGCTGCTGGACAAATACCGGACACGTCCGGTATGAATACCGGACACGTCCGGTATTGCCAGACCAGCAAGGAATCAGTTAGCACATTTATCGCTCAAATAATCAAACCTCACATGGGTTGGGTTGAGCACTTATGAAACATTATCTATCAACATGATGCATCCCTCTTAATAGTACGGCATACCTATTAAACTCAAGATCAAAGGAAAAATGAATTTATACCACTTGAGTTGATTTCTTTTGAATTGATGCCGTCCCTTCCAATCTTCATCAAGTAAGGGTGCTAACAAGTTGATGTTGATCTTTTCATTTGAGCATAGCCATCTTGAGCATGTGACTTGATTCCATTCATTAAATTTGAATAACCCCAAACGTATCAAGTCACTTCCATCAAATACTTCATTATAGATTTGATTTTTCACATCAATATGACCATCTTAGCTTGATTAGTACCTCAACTAAATGCAAATACTTTCTTCTTCACCCTAGCTAGGTTCTTCGGCCGCCAAGCCGTCGCTTGCCCTTCACCCTTACTTAGTACCTCGAAGCCTTTCCTTGCTATCTTCACCATCTCAAGCCATCAAGTCATATCTTGTGTTGAATCATCCATTCATATGTATTGTTATATTTTTCATTTTAATTTAGCAAGCTTCAAATATGAGACCATTCCATATGCAATCCCTCATGTCTCATTAACTAATAATCATGAGCTTGCTTTCACATAGTACATGAAAATCCCACAAAAAATAAGCCTTCACATGAATTCCATTTGCATTGTTGTCTTGTGCTTGAACTAGATTGTTTATACAACAACACATCATTTTGGCTTTCATTAAGTACCTGTGAGATAACCTATTACCTGTTCACACTTAGCAAACGGGTTAGTCCTTTAATCACGTTGTCATTCAATCAACCAAAACCCGCTAAAGGGCTAGATGCACTTTCACTCACCAAGTAATTAAATCACAGTGATAATAAAAAAAGTTGTTTTGTACGATAGGAAATACTTGAATCTGTCTAGCTGGCTACACATTATAATGTGCTATAGCAGGATTTGCATAGCCACCTTGATTCCTATAAGCGTGCAGCCACCAAGACACTGCATCCATTTATTATATGCATCCATGTGCCACAAATCAACAAACCGTAGAGATTTGTTATTTTGCAAATCTAGGTAAACACGCTCCAATCATTTGACACCATGTTTCGCATCCGTGTGTGTAACATATTATTTATGATATAGAAGGATGTACAATCTTGTTTAACCGTTCATGATCGAGCACCAAAAGTACACACAACTCTCGTGCTAGTGCCAAAATCTATTTGCCATGGCACGAAAGGTGCTTTTGTAAATTTGAAAGAAAAAAAATGTGATGGAACGAATTGGTCGAAACTCTTGAATTCTGATCTTAGTGACTAGTTAAGACCCTACTTGGTATCTCATGGTCTAAAGTTTGGCCACTAAACTTTAGACCACTTTAGCTCTTGTGGCTCCAAACAGAAGGTCTAAAGTACCGTCTAAAGTTTAGCCAATCTTAAAAAAAAAACTTTAGACCACACAAATGAGCTAAAGTGGTAGTTTTAGCCGTCAACTTTAACCAGCTAAAGTTTAGACCAGAGAATCCAAATTAAATAGGCCCTAAGTTGTCATCCTAATTCTATTTTTACAAATTTATTAACCAAGATCATGTGATTTCCTTAGAAAATTTAAGATTATGGGTGGGGCATACCTCTCTTCCTGGCTTATTAACCTCCGCCACTGTCACAGTTGTACTAACTTTGCCAAGAAAACCATTGAGTTTTTACATCATGTTAGTATGTGACTTGGCAATGGATTCATATTCTACACAAAATGTTTAACTCCGAAAAAAGAAGACCAGTCCGTCGCACTGTATACTAAGTTATATACCATATCAATGGCAAATTGATCATAGTTTATTCAATTTTTGACATTGCAGGAAGCTTTGACTATGCCAACCTGTCCTCCTCCTCCTTTTTCTTTTTTCTTATTTTATTTTTGTGATCCAGGCTGCTTATCTGTGAGTTTGTCTGGTGGGAATGGGCGACGACCATCACGAGGCAATTCGTTACCGACTCACAACTTCAGATGCTTGGAATTTCTTGCAATGGTATCTTAATCTTGGAATTCGATTGGAAGCTTGTTACAAAGCTGTACACATAGCACTTATGACTTACCTGAATGTGTCCATTACATCACATCATTCAGCCACCTATCAATCTATAAGCTGAATGATGGAGAAAGACCACGCTAGAATCATAGAATGAAAAGGACAGAAAGAGAATGTGCATGGAAAGAAACCAATTCTTCCAAACCGATGATTGACCCAGGGCTACAACAGCTGAAACTCAAGTGCCTTCTGCTGGAAGAGTGCGTAGTGGCTTTTCCATCAGCGAGGAACTGATACGGATGGCCATGGTGTTGCTCTCTCGGTCTCAGACGATGGTGCAGGGCCCGGGGTACTCGTCCTCGATGGGGATGTAGCACGGCTTGGGGTACGGGTACGGGTACGGCGGCGGGCACGGCGGCGGAGGGCACGGCGTGCACGGCGGCTTGGGGCAGCACCTTTTCTTCTTCTCCTCTTCCTCCTTTTTCTTCTTCTCCTCTTCCTCCTGTTTCTTCTTCTTCTCTTCCTCCTCCTTCTTCTTCTTCTCCTCGGCCTCCTTCTTCTCGTCGATCACCGACACCACCTCCGCCGGATGCTTCGCCTTGCGCAGATGCTCCACGATGACCACCACGTCCACGTCTCCGACCACCGTGAGAGTGCTCTTCTCGTCGTCGTATGTCAGGGACTTGATCCCTGTAGTAGGCACCGTTATCAGTCAGTTCATGACCACACACAGCTAAGCTACCATGTCCATCAACCAGCAGAGAACGAACACCCTTGAATGACAAATGCATACACAAAAAGAAAGGATAAATTTACCTTTAACTTTCGAGGCGATCCCAAGGACGCAGGTTTTGCACTTCTTGCAGGTGATCGCCACCTTAAGTACTATCTGACGATGATGCAGAGAAGAACAGTTAATAGATAGACCATAGAAAATTCGTGGGAGGGATCAAGAAAATTTAAATGCTAACCTTCGTCATCACCGCTGCAAGGTTGACTCTCTATACTGCTTGTGGTTACCAATTGGTGGTTCTTATATATCGTTTCTGTAATGAGCTCAGCCGAAAGCCTCTTCTGCTATAGGTGGCTTTATACAAGCAGCAGGAGAAGGGTCCTTTCGTGGAGGTTACATGCATGCCATGGTTTGGAATTTGTCAATGGTCATCAGTAACGGACCTAGGTTTTTACCTCAGAGCCCTTTGAGCAATTTTTGTTTACATTGAAAATTTCTATCTATCTTTATAACTGGCGGACCCCAGGGTATGCGGTGGCCCACCCTGCATACCTGTAGGTCCGTCCCTGGTGGTCATACAGAGAGCCCTTTGAGAAGTTAAATCATTGGGAGGCATGCAGCAGTGCGTTGAGAGTTGAGACCCAGTCCCTTACTGGCTTACTTGCAATAATTGCTGATCGACTACCACGCAAGTCAAGCACTACTACGTAGTTAGTTAGTAGGTGCAGCTCGTACTACACATATAAGAGACATGGTCGTTGGAGTTATTTTGAAGCACTAAAAAAAATGGAGTGGAGATATTGTTTCTAAATTTCCCTATCATAGGATCTGCCAAATCACTTCAACTAAAATGCTGCAGCAAGTTGGTGCTCTCTAACAACCAGTTCAAAGAATATAATCTCCAGCAAGTTAATCATGGCGTGAATGGATAGAGAATGCATGTTATTGAGTGCACTAGTTTCCTTTTGTCTCGACGCAATGCACATCTTTGTAATTAAGGTAGAAAAGTTTGATACAAACAACGCGCTTCGGTGAGCGCTCTTGGAGGCGGTCTATAGGATTACAGCCATGGGCTGGACCATCCTAGCATACAAATACTGATTTCGATATTACACAAACGGTCCAGGTCATTATCAATCAAAATGTAATCCCTAGTACTTTCTGCAGACGCCGGTCTCCGGCAATCTTGTAAATATACTCTATTCCTTCTTAATACAAAGATATACACACTCGTGCGTATTAGAGAGAGAAAAAAAAAGATAGTATTATCATGCACTAGTGTCTTGTACATGGGCAGCGACATAGTATTATTCTTGGTTTGTTGTCATGCCGACAAGTACTGGTATTATCAGGAGATGACATGTCAATCAGCTACTAGTACTCTTCTTTCCGGTTGGTTTAATTTTAACTAATTAACGAACAAGACAAGTTGAGCAGGTGGTGGCTTGGAAATGTCAGCAACTAATACTAGTAAAATAGTACTCGTACTTGGGCATTTGTAGGTTTTTTCTATGGGTGCATTGTCGTAGAAACCTGCTTGGAGTTCTGCATTGTCGAAGTCGCTGACGTCATCTCGCCCTGGAAGATGGTTCCTAAGGTTCCTGGGAATCTAATATGATAGCCGGGGAGGTGATAAATTAGAAGGAAAAAAATGACAGCCCACACTTCTATATGAAGCATATCTATATTCTTTTCTCAAAGAACATGCTTGTTCTTTTTTCTTTTGAAAACATAGCTAGTCCACATGCAAAATAACAAAGTCAGTACATCCACCCTGCTGCTAGAACAGACACCTCGCCTTGTAGCGGACGGCTTCAGGCTTCCCTTCTCAGGATTCCGTTCTCACGCACGGAGTTGGGCCCCTTTGGTTCGAGGGCCCAGGTGCCCGGTGCCCGCGCACCTGTCGCCGCCGGGTTCAGATTCTCTGACTTATCTAAGGTAAGTCATCGGTGACTTATGCCATGCCCGATGCCCTGCATTTCATATCCAACGGCTGATAGAAGAAGCAACTTTTTCACCCCAAATAGCAAAGCTCAGCTGTGGTTCTGGCCCAAATACAGCCCAACTCAGGATGATATATATATATATATAATAACATAGAGTTTTACCAAGTATTTTCATAGCAGAATTAAATGAGCATTTTACTAAGTATTCTTAATAGTTACATGTTCCAAATAACCAAAATAAATTCTACCAAATGCCATCTGTTAGCGCACATGTGTTGCAGTATGCAAATACATCCCGAGCGGTAGAACACATCGGGCAAGCAAGCGCGCATGGACGCGTGCAAAGATGGGCGGCGCGGCATGGACGCTTGGCACAAGTGGTGCCTGGTCCTGCCGAAAAAAAAAATCCATAAAGCCAGCGAATGACCAAAGGTGGATCTAGAATTTTATCAAAGGTTATTCGGTCTAAAATTTTTATATACAATTCAATAAAATCGAATTATCAATTTGATAACTAATTTTTAAAATGTACTGTAGTTCGCTCATACACTAAATAAAATTAAAGTGTTATTATATTCAAAGGTTAAGAAGAAAACTTGCCTAAATTATCTAAATTATAATAGTACTAGTTTAAACGTCATACTAACAGTTCAAAATATGCATAGAAGTAGCAAGATAAGTACGACACAATGTAACAAAACTCTTATGATGCAATCATAATTCATAGATGATAGATGATATAATATCTTTTATTATAAAGAAATAAATGAAGAATACAGACACACGGAAGGGAAAAAATACTACTAACGGTGATATCACTTGCGATTAAACAAACAATTAAACAAAAAAAATATTAACCGTGATTTGTGGTCCTTTGGACGGCCTAGTGAATTCCTGGTGTCGTAAATCTCTGCAGCCTTGTTTGCTTCAGGCATGACCGCTTCGGCATTAGGAAATCATGCATGATTTTAAAGATGAGAAGGATTGCAAATGAAAAAATCGATACTATGGAAGAGAAAGAACAAGACGGCAAGTCAACATGCGGATTGCGACGCTGAACGCCGGACGGTGTGGTCGACCGACATGCGGACGGGACGCCGGGATGGTGCGCGCGGCTGTACTGGGCCAGAATCACTGGTGATGGGCTTTGTTATTTGGTGGAAAGGTTGCGTTTTTCTATGAGCCGTTGGATGCGGAATGGATGGCATCGGGCATGGGGTAAGGCACCGGTGACTTACCTTCAGTAAGTTAGAGAATCTGAACCCGTCGCCGCCTGCCTAGCCCCACACGCCGGCAGTCCGCAGCTAGGGCTTGTCGCCGCCGGCGCGCCGCCATGGTGTCGCAGCACGGCATCCTCCTCGCCGATAACATCATCTCCGACCACTTCGGCCCCATCGTATCCGTAAGGCCGCCTCCGTCCCTCCTCCTCTCCCCGCCGTTCCTCGCACGCTCGCGGAGCGACGCGCGAATGCGCTGCCCTAACACCCGCCCGCCGGGTCCCCTCTTTCGCAGAAAGTGTGTGGCTGCCTTCTGCGCCACGGCGCGCTGTCGCTGCTGGAGATCGTCCGCCGCCTCGAGCTCTCGCCCAGGCAGGTGAAGAATTCCCTCCTCATCCTCATTCAGCACAACTGCGTCCAGGCCTACACAAGCCCCAGAGGCAAGACCCTCTGCGAAACCTTGCTTTTAGCATCTGATTTGGTGGACTATCAGAATTTGATGCCACTATTGGGCGGCTTGCAGGGGGTGGCGATAAGACGGTGACGCTCTACTTGGCCATCTTCGACAATGTCCTGCACCGGCTGCGCTTCTCAAAGTTCCTTTCTGTCGTCCGTGTGGATATTCCAGAGGTAGTTTATATAAGTTTGATTGCAATCGTTCTGTTTATGCTGTTACATTTTAAAATCGAAACTGGTATAATCGGTCATGACAGTTCTTCTCTAATTGCTGAAGTCAATATGGAGTAAAAGGTAGGTGGATGTGGTTGTTTGGTAGATGCATCTTCACCTTGTTTAATGTTCCAGAGTTGTGGTATGGGCCAGTTGAGTTTCCTAGTGCTACACTGAAGATTGTCAGGACAACCTAGAATGTGCACCATTAGTCAGATCTGGTGCCTTGGGTAGTGACCACTCGACGTTGTCAATGACATTGATGCATTCATAATATTTCAAATTGTACTTGTTATTTGGAGAATAGTGGGTAGTCAATGCTTTCTATCTGGAACTTTGCATTTGGCATGATCAAGCTAGCAATGCCGGACATATTATTCTCCCTCCTCCTATGGGATCTTGTTTGGTCTTTGGACTTCTACGCCCCTGTTTTGTAGGATCTGAAATATTCCATTTCATGTTCTGTTATGGCCTGGGTTAGGGGTCTGTGCTGTATGAGAGGATTGAGAGTCTTCGAGGGTGAATGGATGCTGAACGGGACACTTGAGAATGGGCATATGCTTGGACGGTGGCACCCAAACACAAGACCGAGGGGCAGATGATGATCTATTAAAATAATATTATTTCAAAAAAATCAGAACCTAGATATGTAAATCCAATCTAACTAACAACCTATGTAAAAGTTTTACATATATGTCATATAGTAACAAACTAATGTCGCTGCATCATCCCTGCTGCTGATCTGGTGTTCCTTGGTCAGCCCGCTGGCCTGACATGTCCCTACTCGTAAAGGTTCAGTATGTTCAAGATATTATGTCTTGTTTGCATCCTAAACTTGTTGTGTGAGTTATAACCAGTGTTAGAAAGCATTTTGGTTACCAATATTGATCATATATGTTCAAATTGATCAATTAACCTTAGAGTTAGAAAGTGCAACTTATGATGCCCATCCTAAATGTTCAATTTAATTGGTTATGCTCTTTTGCGATTTGCTAACTGCAGTATCAATTATTGGTTTGTGACAGTTGATAAGACTATAAGAGAACTAACAGGCATAGTCTTAACTCTTAACATCAACTTCTCTTTAGTCGATGTACTACTTGTACCACTGAAATTGTCATTCATTCCATTTTATTCTCTGTCAGAAAGAAGGACTTGTTGTAACTTTAGGTCCCAACATATTTAATCATAGTTAGCTTTTTGATGACGTTTTGCAACTCGCAGTCAGAAGTTCTTCTCGAAGGATTACTTCAGAATGGTAGGCTAACATTTGAGCAACTTGTGGAGCGAACAATATTTAAAGTACCAGAAGGTCGGTATTTTTATTGATGTGGTTATCTTACCATTCTTTGCTCTTTTTGTGATAATGTTTGCTCTCTTTTCTGTCTAAACTTTAGCCTTTTAGCTATAACATTTTCAAAGTTATCCTTCCCATTAATGGGTCAGTAAATGTTTCAGGCAGCCCCTTACCAACAAGGGAAGAAATACGAATGAACTTCAACAAACTTGTATATGCACATTATGTGGAACGTTGCCCAAAACCGGAACCTTTTTTCGATCCTCTTGCAGTTGAACAACCTACATCCACAAGGAAACGGGCTCCTAAAGTAAGTCACTTTCATTCCTTATTAGCCGTTATGGTTATTAGTTTCTAGTTTTTAGAATCTGATCATATTCTATTTCATACTCCTTTTGTTTCACAGTAATATTCTATTTTCTTGGAGTGTGTTGTTTTATTACCTTATTAATAGAGAAGCCATTTGATAGGGGCATGCATGGTGAGATATAATGGAATGTCTTAGATTTAATGCCTTAATTTTTGTGGGTTTGGACTTGTATTGTGTAGGGATTGATAAAAGATAACTAGTCTATTCATAACCAAAAGCTAATTTATTTGAAGAAAATTTGCGAACTCAGTGGTTGAAGAATGGTAGAGCAGGGATAGAAGGAAATAGCACACTGTTGCTCCCTCATGACAAAGAATTGCACATCTTGTTTTGGTTCTGGGTTGTTGATGAATATGTACTTTGTCCTTACATTTTTCATGTTTAACTGGCTTGTAGTCTTTTTTTGTAACCTCATACCAAGGTCTTGATCTTGTTATATGTTATAAATATACATGGTGATTGTCTGGGTGAGCTGACAAATGTATCTTTGGGACAGACTGTTGAGACGGTTCTTTCACTTGAGCAGAAAGTTGTCTGTACTGCAGCTCTATCTGATGCTGAAAGATTTTCTCAGATACCATACCTCATGGAAGGGTCATCGAGTGCAAATGATGGCCATCATGCTGTTGCTGGTAATAAGGTATTATGCTCTGTTCAGTTATAGTGATCATCATGTTGCAATGCGGTGGTGTCATGCCATTACAATAGTGAAGTGTAAATGCTAATCCTGTTTCTGCTTTCCTATTGTTATTAAGCTAGAAAAGGCAAACACGGTGTTCTAGCCTTCTAGGTTATTTGCTAATGAAAACTATGATTGATTGACCAACAAAATTTAACTGCATGGTCTAGGTGATACATAGACCAAAATTAGCGCTGAACCTGTTTTTTTTTGCTTAAATTTGCTCCAGGTAACGCATTTGACTTTGATATAGATCCAGATGAGCATGGTTTTTGATATCCAAACTACTTTCTTATTTTGAGCTTAAACTTTTCCTACATAAATTTTCTGGTGTAGATTTACTTATTTGGTCCTACTGAGGATCATGTAGTCCTCATTAGAATCCACCAAACAATGGACATATGTATCCCCTTTTTTTGAGTTGCAATATTTCTTCTTTTCTGAGATATTAGCCATGCATCATCATTGTGGTATTTTTTTTCTTGTTAGAATTTATATCGTATTTGCCTTTTCATGGGAGCTTTAAAACATGAATCATTAGCTTTCATTCTATTTTGATCCTGTTTGAAAATATGCATGGGATATGTTACTCTGTTCATCTCCTAATTATCTTATCATTTTTCCCAGCGAAAACATGAAGCCTTAGAAGTTGATGAAGAGGATTCAATAATTGCAGAAAGTGAAGTACTTTGGCGGATAAATTTTGAGAGGTTCATATTTTGTTTAAAGAAGAAGGTGTGCTTATGTACCTACTTTATAGCATATATATAGTTGCATGTATTCATTTTCTTTTCCCTCTGTATTTGTGCTTCCATTTGCATGTCTGCAGATGGGGCTTCTTGAAGCAGGATCCTAGTATAGCTAGATGCAAACCAATTCATTCTACTTTGTCTTTTCTTGTGAACTAAATATTCTATTTTTCCAGAAACAACAAGGGGCAGGTTTTCTGAATAATATATCGTTAAATAGGATTAAGAGCAGAATGAGCTACAAAAAAAGGGTTTGCAATTCCATTTTTTCCAAGAAAAAGATATGCTCATTACATGTCAGAGGTTGGTAAATCAAACTGTCTTCTCTATTAAGGAAAAAAGAAACCTTGGCCATGGGGAGAGATGTCCCCTTGCTTTGTCATAAGAGGAGTACTAAACCCTTTCATAAGGTACTCAGATAAAGTGACCTGTGAGCACCTGGGTTCAAGCCTGGTTCTGGTTGGCTGCCTCTTAACTAGAGCCTCTACCAACCGAGATAATACTTCTTTTTTATTATTATTTTCTCAAACATGGAGGAGAACTGTGCATCATTATAATTGGAAGAAAACCAAGCTATTTGCTCAATGGCCGGTTCTCTCTATAAAGACATCTTACATAAGCTTACCATCTGTTCCACTGAATTGCGTGTACTTGCACCGTAGTTATTATGTTTTTTTTTTAAATCTTCTGAACAGCTCCATTCCAAAATAAGAAAACTGTTAGCTTCTCATTTTTGTATATATATTTATTTGTATGTACATGCATGGGGTTGTTAACATCTCATTTATTATGTATTTATTTAACTGTACATGTGGATGCTTTTGAGAGAAGCATGATCTTGAACTTCCTACTGCTTAGTCTTTCTTCCTGTACTGAAGTTCTGTGCAGAACGAAAGAAAGCAAAGATGAGGCTTGGAACACTTGCTATATGGGAAGCATTTTTTGAGGCCAATGTAACGAACAACGACAACAAGACTGGTAATACCCACTATCAATATATCAAATTGTCTCGTTACTAGATCCTCAAAGTATCACAGCATTAAACAATATCAGAAACTGAGGCTAGTAAGTGTTTTAGTGAGCCATTTTTTTAGAATAAAAATAATATATTTATTTTAGCTTACAAACACTAAATGTGACATAGAGCTATAAGTTGGAACCCTGCCAAAATGGGTTCCTAGTTAAAATATTCACAAGAATTCATCAAGAGATTATAAAATTTACTGTTTTGTACTCAACCACAATGTGATAATTGTTCATTAAGCAGATAATTATGAACCTATTAGTCTACAAGGGTCTTCTCTGAACCTGATACTTGGAGTATGCCATGCGTTTCATCCGTTTCAAAATACTTGAGCAACTACCCTATATGTAAAAGACCAAAGAGGCAGAAAATCTTGTTAACAATGGTATTTGACCATTATTAATGACATAAGAGGCCATTCGACATCTTTACATCATTAGTAGGAGAGGTGAAGGATTTGGAAAAAAACATAAATAACTACATTGTTGATCTCTCCGCTGGACAACCATTCTGAAATGAGGAATCCCGATAAACTGGTAAACTATCTTGAAATGAAGGAACTAATAGTTAGTTCAACATTGGTATATGGCCTTTGTTAAAGTTGCATTGTTTCATCTTTCTTCTGAGCCACTAACCCTAAATCTTAGCAGCCTGGAACGCGGGATGAACCCACGCTCCGTATTGTGGGAACTTTGCCCTGAAACGAGGAAGTAGGAACTTAAGTTGTCCCAAACGCCGTTGGATTGTCATCCACCGGGACAATGAAACGGTGCAAAGAAACCGCTGCAGGCAGCTTCCTCTTCCTCGCTAACACGTATCTTGAGTCCAGACTGCGCCACTGCCTAGCCGACGAGGTTGTCCAGGTTGCAGTGCTACGCTCCATAGGTGCATGCGTTGTGGGCTTGGCGGGCGAAGTCGATAGCTCTAGAGAGATTAAATGGAGCATGAGCTACCCATTTGAGAGGGTTGTTGGCGCAAGATGGTGGCCAGAGGTGTGATTTAAGGTGGCGCCTGCACCCTGTTGTGGCAGAGAAACAGTGAGAGGGAGAAGAGACGGTGGCGGGCGGGTGCATGCATGTGCTGGAAGAGAGGAGATTAGGGTAAAGAATCTGTGGTGGGCCAGTGGTTTGTGAGTGGGCTTAATGGGCAACGAAATAGAAACCCAGACCTATCACTTCTTCCATTTTCTTTCGTTTTTAACTTTTGATGGAATCAGCACATTGCTCACCAATTGCTATGTAGATACAAATATAAATTTGTGTTCTGTGGTGGATCTTGCATAATCTGGAACACGTTCTTCGTCCCAGGAACATAGTTCAGCTATATTTGTTTCACGTTCCCTGTCTCGAACGAACAACAAAAAGTGGTGTCGCTCATACTCATTCCTCGACCCCATTAAAAAAGGGCGTACCCAATGCAGAGAGCTCCCGCTCTGTGCGGGGTCTGGGGAAGGGTGTTAGTGGCAAGCCATACCCTCGCCTGTGCAATGCGAGGAGACCGCGACTCGAACCCGGAACCTTCCGGTCACAGGTGGTAAGACTCTACCGCTTGCACCAAGCCCGCCCTTCATTCCTCGACCCCATTGATCCGGGAATTTGTCTGCTGAGCCCTAATTTTGTCGTCTCGTCTCTTATGTGATCCTCAATTTAGATGGCCAATAAAAAGGGACATTTAGTTGTATACTGTCATTTTAAAGGATTTTGTTCTGGTGGGTGGATAGGGACTTGAATTCAGAAGAGACACTACCTCTGTCCGGAAAATAATGCAGTTGTAGTTCTATCTCTAGTCAAACATCTTAAGTTCAGCAAAATTTAGATAAAAGAGTATCAATATTTATGGCACCAAATATATATATAATATGCAAAGTACATTCCATGACGAATCCAATGATATTTATTTGGTATCATAAATATTGATACCTTTTTTTATAAATTTGATCAAAGTTAAGATGGTCAAACTATCAAAATTTTGACTGGATCTTGGTCGAAGCATCAACTATTTGTGGCTGAGGGAAATGTTTTAGTAATGAATTCTTGACTTTTGCAGTGACATCACCAATAGATGGAATTTTGGAGAGAGTAGGACAAAAGGAAGGAGGCACGTCAATGACTTTGGATCAGATAATAAGTGTATTGAATGATTTAGAGTGTACTTCTACCACTAATAACCCAGAAGAATTCACATTCGGTAAGGACACATACTGCTATGCATAAGTTTGATACATCCATTTCCTATAACTGATTTTTTGTACATAAACTGGAGACTGGACTGTTGCGTCACACTCTGCAGAAATTGTCTGGTTATGAACTTTGGTCTGGTTGACTGATTTAAATCCTACCTGATGAAAACTTTAATTGGTCAATTTTGTATGATTATTTGGTACAAACAACCTTAAATTTGCTTGCAAAATGAACTAGCTTGCGACGTTGTTGGTCCTGATCCTTGTGGTTATGACTTAACAGTTAAACATGCTACTTCCTCCGTTTTTAAATATATATGATGTTTAGGACAAGCTAATCAGTTGTAATCCTCTTTGTAGATTTGAATAAATTGGTTGAGACATGTCGAAATGATGAGGTACATGAATGCTTTACTGTTTCATCCTTTATTATTCAGGGTTAGATAAATACTCCCTCCATTTCAAAATTGAAGGGGTTTTAGTTTTGTCCTAAGTCAAACTTCTCTAACAACCAAGTTTATAAAAAAAAATGCATCAACATCTACAGCACCAAATTAGTTTCATCATGTCCACCATGGCACCATGAAATATGTCTTGATAGTGCATTTATTTGGTGTTGTATATGTTAAATATATTTTTCTATAAATTTGGTCAAACTAAAGAAGTTTAACTTAGGACAAACGAAAACCTCTTAAACTTTATAATGGAGGGAGCTTCCTTTAATCAGATTCATATTGGTTCCAATTCTTTGTGCATTGTAGATAGAGTCCCTTGTGAAAAAGAAACATGGGCAAGAAGCTTATACAATCTTTAGGTTATTGCTGAAACAAGGCTGTCCAGTTGAGACCGATGAAGTAAGGAATCTTCTATGCTGAGGATTTTTTTCTCTTTTGTGTGTTATTATCAGTTGCACTTTAATACTTGTTGCATCAATTATATTTTATCTTCATTATGTGGTGGTGTTTTTTTAACAAAATATTCATTAAATGGCACAGTTTCGTGTTGCAAACTTCAGTGTGTAATGCTGGACTTTCATCACAATTTGCAGATTACTGACAGGACAATTCTAGACAAGCAGGTTGTTCATGAAACTCTATACAAACTTTGGAAGGACGAATACATAGATTCAGAGGTTTGTTGTATAAACCGAACACATAGCATTTCCTCCTTAGACAAGCTTTCTACTTCATCCTTCTTAAGATTTTGTCACTTTACTTTGGAGTTGCTGCATCAAAATATTTTCCATGGAAGACTAACAGTGTACTTACTGCAATGTCTTCAGTCTCTAACCAACTTTAATGATGTGAAAGAGGTTAATTGGTTTAGTATGTCATTTAACAGTGCAAGTCTGGACAGTGTCAAAACCTTTTCTTAGAGTTAGCAGCCCCTGGATCTTTGCTTATGTTTGTTGTGGACAAATATTGTGAAATAGAATGAGTGGGTTGGAGTGAAGGAAGATATGATTATCTACTTTGGATGTTTTTTTACATTCCTGAACTAGACAGATGACATTATCATCCTTAGAAATTTGTTATGATATGTTGTGTAATTCAGGGAGTGGGTTTAGTTCCCTATAGGCACATGCACCCTGTAACCACACCTTCTGTTGTGCATCTTAGTGTTTGCTACACCTTAGACTTACTCATTAAGAATTTAAAGTTCAAAATGGTGTAGGACAGATCACAGATCCTACTTGACAATGCACATCCTTAGAAATTTGTTATGATATGTTGTGTAATTCAGGGAGTGGGTTTAGTTCCCTATAGGCACATGCATCCCGTAACTACACCTTCTGTTGTGCATCTTAGTGTTTGCTACACCTTAGACTTACACATTAAGAATTTAAAGTTCAAAATGGTGTAGGACAGATCACAGATCCTACTTGACAATGCACATCCTTAGAAATTTGTTATGATATGTTGTGTAATTCAGGGAGTGGGTTTAGTTCCCTATAGGCACATGCATCCCGTAACTACACCTTCTGTTGTGCATCTTAGTGTTTGCTACACCTTAGACTTACTCATTAAGAATTTAAAGTTCAAAATGGTGTAGGACAGATCACAGATCCTACTTGACAATGCACATGACAGTTGCACAATGCATGTTTTTGACATGTATGTGCCAGCGGGGGTGGGGGCACTTGCATTTCTGTATTACATGTATGGTGTGATGGAGGAGGCTGGGTTAGCCGAAAGATGGTTAGACATCGGAGGACACAAGGGAACACTGATTTTTCAGTGTCAGAAGGGGTAGATTGGTAGAAAATGCCCCCAAGACAGGTTCAAACAAACAAGTGTCAGTAGTATGAGTCCCATGGACTAGTGATTTCTTTTTCATGTTCATAAGGCTCACTTCAATGTTCCTTAAAACCTTAAACTCCTAGCCTACACCAAGACTTGTATGGCAAGTTGTTTACACCGATAAACCATAGCAATGTGCTCTACCCTAAAGTTCCACGATAGCATAGTTGGAATTGATTGCGTTGTGCTAGCAATTATATCTAGCTAATTAATGTGCTAAACATAAACAATTAATGGGAAAGTGGGTTTTCCAACTGCCAATTCCAAAGTTTCAGGCTAGAATAGCAAATGTCTGGTGCTTCTTTTATCACTGTTTTTAAGCTTTTGTTTGCTCTTAATGATTTACTAGTAGATTGCAAATTTGTTATTTTTTCTGCAAACATGTCAAGTTTAGCATCAATACTTCTTCAGCAATATTACTAAATACAACAACAACAAACAACAACAACAACATAGCCTTTCAGTCCCAAGCAAGTTGGGGAAGGCTAGAGTTGAAACCCACCAAGAGCCCCAAGTCACGGTTCAAGCACTTCAATATCTGCTTTCCAAGCAGTCCTATTCAAACATAGATCTCTAGGTATATCCTAAGCTTTCAAATCTCTTTATATTGCCTCCCCCCATGTCAATTTCGGTCTTCCTCTATCTCTCCTCATATTATTAGCTTGGCTTAGGACTCCACAATGCATTGGTGTCTCTGGAGGTCTCCTTTGGACATGGCCAAACCACCTCAACCGATGTTGGACAAGCTTTTCTTCAATTGGTGCAACCTCTAGGCGATCACGTATATCATCGTTCCGAACTTGGTCCATTCTTGTGTGACCGCAAATCCATCGCAACATACGCAATATTACTAAATAGGGATGGAATTTTATGGCAACTTCAGTTTTTTATTTTTCTGGAGCAAAATTCAGAATGTTTCAACCTGATTGACAGACAGACTAAGCCTAGCAAATGAGCACTCTGTTCTTTTTGTCGGGCGAGATCACTCTGTTCTTGGATTCAGCAGTGAAGACAATCACTGAATTTGTGAATTGTTACACTTATCACTTATATTTAGCAGAGTATTATAGTGACTTAAGTATTTGTAAGCATATTGTACCATACTTCAAGTAGACAGCAAAAGACTGCTTGTGCTGACAGTAAGTCAATTATGTTGCAGAGAGTCCCTTCTACATCAGGAACAGGAACCGGAAGCACCCAGTTCTTTATTTGGAGAGTAAAAAATATTTATAGGGAACACTTCATGGACCATCTTTACCATGCTGCTTTAAACTTGCGCCAGATGGTCAATTACATGGCTGAACTATTACTTGAGGTTAGTTATTTAACCCGAGATTTGCATGTTTAGATCCTAACTTTATAAGCTAATCATCGGATATCAAAATTTTAATTAGAAAATGTAATTGGGGATTATAATGCCTTGGCTAGTCTGAATGTTGTTTGACTACATGATCAAGTCAAACCACTATTCTCAAAATTAAAAAAAAATAATGATTCTTATTTGTGTTATCTAATTATCTGTGGGTAGGTGGAATTTTATTTTTCTTTCTATGTTCTATCCCCAAATTGCATAAATCCAAACTTCTCTTTGATCAAATTCTGAAAAATTAGTTTTGGACTCTAACTGTATTTCACTATTGGTAAGTAGTGATTGTGTGCAGACTGCGGAGCAGGAAGATGAGCACTTTATGTAGCGGTTTAAGATAGTTTGAAATTAATATTCCCTATCATATAGGCATCAAATGGTTCTTGTCCAGCTAATAATGTATTGACTGAAAGTAACGATTGGGTGCAACCTTATTCCACTTGGTAGTAGTGTCATTCAAAATTCAGACATGGCATGGAATAACAATTTATAGAGATCCCAATATACTATCACTGTTTTTGGTCAGGAAAGTTAATGGTTTCATCTTCTTTTACCAGCAAACCGTTCAATTTTTACCCTGCAATGTTTGGCTCGAGTTGTCTTAATTTCATCTACCCAGTGTTTTGTCGATAACACAATGAGTTAATGTGAGACATTGAGACATGTACTTTCAAATCATAATTCATGTGTATCTCATACATCGTTTTAAAAACCATGTATTTCAGGGTTCAAAGGATGAAATCAAGCTTCGGAACAGAAAAAACATTTTGATCCTAGCTCTCACTAGACATGATGAATCCCTTATGATGTTCCATGATTTTTGAGAACACTGGAACAGGATCTGGTCTGTCATATTTACATATATGGATGTATGGTTAGATGGCTTGAAAATAAAGTAGCTTTACTTTTCTTGCAGATAGGTCTTTATTTATGCATTATGTGTTTTGATGTTTTTCATATTTGATCATTTGATGGTGCCAGCTACAATGGATATTTACCATATGGCCTATGTTTGGGTGAAGGCGTCAGTGCGTCATGCCCCCCTTGTTCCATGCTCTGAATATTTCAAAAGAAACTTTTAAAAAGATGATAACGGTTATATTTGTATTTAAAAGTAGTTGCAAAATTTATATCATTGCTATATTCTGCTTACATTCCAATACTATTAATCAATGGTGAAACCAGTGTCTGGGTAGCCATAGCCATGCTGTGTAGTTTCTGTCAGTTGATTGCGTTTATATCATACTGAGAGAAAGAAAAAAAAAAAAGGCACTCGCTGACGAAACCCATCTCGCTCTTACCGGCCTGCTGTCACCGGTGATTGCAAGTGGATAATCAAGTTGCAAAGAGCTCGGATATTGCGCCACTTGGAGCGGCCGCCCATCATCGTCTGAACTGAGCTAGGTCGCAACCGCGTGGTCTTGCACGCACGTATGACCATGGACTTCTGCGAGACGTGCACTACCGTATAAACGCCCATGTGCGTACCGGCACGTTCCGGCTAAGATACACTGCTGTCTGCTGGTGCTGAGAGAGCCTCGGCCGGTCATTCAGGTCAACTGCATGCGATTAGCTGGAAACTATTAGCCAACAACCGAAGGCCGAAGCTACTGTCCTGTGCTGTCCTGTGATCCTGTCCATGGGAAGGAATGTTCGGCGACATACCGATCGACGTAAGGCTGTCTTTAGTTCGTGAAATTTGGGAATTTGGCTGCTGTATCATTTTCGTTTTTATTTGGTAATTATTGTTCAGTCATAGACTAATTAGGCTCAAAATGTTCGTCTCGTGATTTTCAACTAAACTGTGCAATTAGTTTTTTTTCGTCTACATTTAATGCTTCATGTACTTATCGCAAGATTCGATGTGATAGCTACGGTAGCACTTTTTGGAAAAAAAATTTAGGAACTAAACACAGACTGTCGACGAAATATGGTCGGCAGTCTACCTAGGGGTATATCCAAGGTAGTAGATTGTCGGCAGACAGATGCGCAAGCCACAAACAAGACGGTGACGCAAGACAGACACAAGGTTTTATCTAGGTTCGGCCGCCAAGAAGGCGTAATACCTACGTCTTGCGTCTGATTTGTATTGTTGTATGTCAATGAGAGATGTTTCTTAGAGGAGTCCTCTGCCCGTCTTATATAGTTCAGGGGGCAGGGTTACAGATCTAGAAACTAATCCTAGCCAGTTACAATTGCCATATGTGGCCGGATAAAGATTCCTATTCTAACCGACCAGGATCTTGATTGATCGCCAAATCCGTCTTGACTCCTTGCGCGGGACTCCGATCAGGTTAACCGGGCCGCACGTCGTCTTTTGGTGGACCGAACCCATCGATCCAGGCCGGCCCAAGCTTAGTCATAAGGGTATAGGGGTTAATACCCCCACAGCTAGTCCCCGAGCACCATGTATTATGATGTGACACGCCCTTTTAACCTTCTCCGACAAGTAAGGCTTGAGCCCTTGACGTCTCTGACCACCGTTGTCGCCGGAGAAGTCGGTTGTCCGAAGAATATATGGTGCTCTTAAAAAAAAAAAAAGATTTTCGTCACGGGAAGTGTGCCCACTTGTATTTACGAACGTAATGTAAATGCGTCTCGGAGCGTGGCGTCCTTGATCATCGAGGCGAGGAGTCGAAAAACAAACACATTCACCGCAAGGTGAAGTGTGTCCACTTAGTCCCCGAGCCCGGTAGTAGGTGACGAGTGAGCACGTGGTGCCGTGGTCTAAAAAGAATTTCCGATTAAGTTGAGAAACGAATCGTCAGACAAGCGATACAAGATGCACGGCGGTGCATCGCATCGATGTAGTCCCCGAGCTTGCTTTGGAAGGCGAGGTATGAGCCTTGTAGCAAGGTCTAAATAAATGTCTCTCAACCGTATGTGAGTACAAATCACATGTAGCCGAGAAGAACGATCTCCGAGCAAAGGGTCGAGACAGGTCCCCGAGCACATCAATGAGCGGAGCGGTCCCCAAGCGTGGCGTTAGTCCGAAGGTGGTGCCCAGC